AGTTGCATATGTTCGCTTTAGCAGTTATATAAAATCCACTGAGGAAGGCGGAGACCTCAGACACCTTTTAAACTATCTGGTGATCTACAGGAACTCACTAAGGACATAAAAATAAAAGATTGAATAGGGCAGTCTTCTTCTTTCACTCACTTTTCTCATTTCTCTTCAGTCATTTGGAGCTGAAGCTGCTGGTGGGGTTAATTCCTTGACTGTTCTGTCAAATGTTAGGCTCCAGTACACATACTTGTGTATATATGAACAACTGTTTTTTAATAACCTGCCAAGAAGCTATAATCTTCTATTGCAGTCCCCTGGGATTTAATTAGAATGGTTTTCCACAGCCTGACATGTTTATGGGGCATAGGTAAAGAGACAGTTCATAAAACTGTCAATTTCCTGAGAAATTAAAGAAAAATTGGGCTGCTTAGTGCTTTGGCAATTCTGTGCTGCTGATACCAGCATTGCAAGCAATGAAATCAAGGGAAACATAACAAGATACTGATGCATTAGATATGGGCGGGTTAAAAATAATGTACAAGGGCATTTGTCAATTTGAATGCATAAAGAAGAAAGTAGAGAAAGTAAACCATAAACTGGAGTAGCTTGACTTTGGGGTGTTTGAGAAAGACGTGAACACTGAAAAATAGTTTATTTGCATCTGGAAGATTTATAATTTTTTTCTTAATAGACAAGATCAAGAAATGAATTCTAGGAATTCTCCCTAGGAGAATGATAATGTGATGAGCAGTACCTTCATTTGGGAATTCATTTAAACTATTTTTACCTCCTTTAGGTAAGTAAAAGTTATTAATCTTACATAGATTCTGTCTTAAGAGAACCAAGTGTGTTGAAACAAACAAGCCCAGTGTAAACTGGTCAGGCCTCTCTTTGCACTCTATCTTTAATCAATGTGTATACTCTCTTTTACCCGGCCTTCTTTGTGGCAGCTACTCCTAATCATGGCACTGAAGTTGTTCAGGAATTGTACCCAGCCTGCAGTAGGAAATAGAGCAATGTGACAGCAAGCATGATCTTAAGTATTAGGCACAGCCCTGGAATGTTCTTAGGGTTACTGGGGAAAAATTAATATTCAAGGAAGGCCTATTTTATCTCAGGAACTGTACTGGGCAATTTTTGTGCATTTCTCCATAGAATTCTCAATGACCTTCTGAAGTATTATTCATCTCATTTTACATATGTGTAAAAGGACACATAGAAATGTTAAGCAATCTGTGTAAGATCATTCAACCAGGAAAGGGTAGGCAGAGCTAGGATCAATGAATCTTTACATATGTTTTGTTCATAATATTATATTGCCTTTTTAAAAAGTAGTTATAAAATGGTGGAATATGTACCTTTGAAAGAAGAGGAAGTCCAAAACATTGACTGTTGTCAGAATAGCAGTGATGTGAGAAAGAATGACCACCCTGTATCTTCTACAAGTCCCCAAGATGGCAGATGACTGGAGCAAGTCACCTGGAGATGAGTGACATCATTTTGCTGTCACTCAGTACAGGACTGGGGCTGGTAAAAAGCAGGGAATTACATACTGGAGATAACCATGGTGTTCTCATCTTGTTTGTCAAGCATTTCATCCCTACCACTTAAGTAGTCCAATTCATGTGCTGTGAGTTTTACTCATCTATACCTCTATTCATTTACTAATTTAATGTTGTTTTCCAGACATGGTGCAAGGAACTTGGGTTCAAAATGAACTAAGACACAGTCTTGTTCACCCAGTGGAAGGTAATAGGCTTTAGAGTTGGATGAATCTCAGGTCAAGATTCTGACTCTGCCACATAGTAGTCATATGATTTTTGCTATTACTTGACCTTGTTGTAACCCAGTTTAATCACAGGGAAAATGGGGAGAAAAATACTTCAAAGTTGGATTGACATAAAAATATTAGTTTGATCTTTTTTCTTTTTCTTCAAGGTCTCATAAATTAATGGTACATGTAGACATAATAGAAACCAAAAGTGATATATTACTATGAATTAATATGAGAAGAATTAATGGCTTATTTCTGGGATGTTGAGGAAGCCTTTGCAAAAGTCAAGTATTTGAACAGCATAAAAAGATATTTAGACAGCACTGAAAGAATATTTTCAGATGGACACCAAAAAGGAAGGCAGTTTTAAGGTGTTAAGGGAACGTGGACCATCTATCTTCTTGAAACACAGTGTGTACATGTGTGCACATGTGGACCTATGTGAGTTAAACAGAAGTGGTAAAATAGAAAGGCATCAGAAGTTGAAGATAGGTTGAGTCTCAAGAATAAGCGCTCTTTTACACCAATACTTTTTCTCCTGGAATGGGAAACCACTAAAAGGATTTTAATCAATAAAGTTAGAATAAAATATTTCTATAATTTCAACAAGTATTTCTTTCTTTCTTTTATTATTTTTATTTCTTGAGTCTCACTCTGTTATCCAGGCTGGAGTGCTATGACACCATCTTGGCTCACTGCTACCTCCGCCTCCCAGATTCAAGCGATTCTCCTGCTTCAGCCTCCCAAGTAGCTGAGATTACAGGTGTGTGCCACCATGCCCAGCTGATTTTTGTATTTTTACTAGAGATAGGGTTTCACAGGTTGGCCAGGCTGGCCTTGAACTCCTGACCTCAAGTGATCCGCCTGCTTTGGCTTCCTACAGTGCTGGGATTACAGGTGTGAGCCACCATGCCGCAGCAACAAGTATTTCTAAGTGAGGATAAGTTTGATTCTAAGCCACTTATCTTACATGTTGATTTCATTGACGCTGTAGGTAAAGAAAGGTGTTAATTTCAAATACAAGAAACATGTAAACAGTGCTAGCAAAAGATATAAAACTGATGGCATAATTTAATTAATCTGTGAGTTACTTCCAATGACAGAATCGCATTGAATTGTATAACGAATAAATTTGGTGGAAAATATTTTGTCGAATAATACACCCTATAGCAGAACATGGCCTTGGTTTTAAAAACATAGAGATTTTTACCAAACAGGGACACCATAAATTTATGAAATCCATAGCATAGCAACCATGGTCTAGCAACACAGTTTTGCATGACTTCCTTAAAGAAAAGAACTTTCAACCCAGAATTTCATATCCAGCCAAACTAAGCTTCACAAGCGAAGGAAAAATAAAATCTTTTATGAACAAGCAAGTACTCAGAGATTTCATCACCACCAGGCCTGCTTTACAAGAGCTTCTGAAAGAAGCATTACACACAGAAAGGAACAACCAGTATTAGCCTATCCAAAGATATACCAAAAAGTAAAAAGCATCAACATAATGAAGAATTTACATCAACTAATGGGCAAAACAGCCAGCTAACATCAAATGGCAGTAATCCTAAATTTAAATCTACTAAATCCCCCAATCAAAATATACAGCCAAAACCCATCAGTATGCTGCATCCAGAGCCATCTTACATGCAAGGATACACAAAGACTCAAAACAAAGGGATGGAGAAAGATGTACCAACCAAATGGGGAGCAAAAATAAATAAATAAATAAAAAGCAGGAGTTGCAATTCTCGTCTTGATAAAATAGATTTTAAAGCAACAAAGATATAATGGTAAAAGGATCAATGCAACAAGAAGAGCTAACGATCCTAAATATATATGCACCCAATATAGGAACACCCAGATACATAAGACCTATAAAGAGACTTAGATTCCCACACATATATAATATTGGGAGACTTCAACATTAATATTAGATAGATCAATGAGACAGAAAATTAATACGGATATCCAGGACTTGAGCTCAGATCCAGAACAAGTAAACTTAATAAACATTTATAGAACTCTCCACTTTAAATACACAGAATATACACTCTTATCAGTACCACATCACACCTACTCACAGGTTTAAATGAAATATTGATTGGCAATTATTAAGCACGATTATTGGCATAAAAGAGGTTTTCAATACCCATTTTTAAATAAAGCAACACTCCCGTTCTCTCTCCCTCTTCTTCTTCCTCTTTCGTCCTCTCCTTCATTTCTTTTTTTTTCTTTCTCTCTCTTTCTTTTCTTTTTTTTTTAAAAAAGTAAATGCCATAGGAAAAAAATTTTTTTGCATGACTTCCAAGAAGACTACCAACACTGGAAATTATCTCCAGAGTTGAATGCCTCAAAGTTATAATCTATGTAAAGTCAGAATTAATGCAATGCTATACTCACGGTTTCGTGATGATAAAAACAAGTTATCCTATAACTTGTTTCTTCTAAGGATCTTAAATGATTCATAATTATTAACTAGTTAAATTTCTTACATCATCCTAAGATAAACGAAATAGTATATTCAAAACTCAATACTGTCTGTAAAGTAAGTGTAGTCTGCACTTTAAACTACTGGATAATAAATAAGTGGTGGTGAGGGAAAAAATAAAATGTATTTAGTTGGGATTGCATAGGAGTATTATATTAACTTATTTTTTCAAAATGTACTAATATTATATGTGATTGTTAATATGTGCCATTTCTAGCAAGTATGACAGAGCATTTCATAGTTGTGCTGACTCTGAAGGACAGGTGATTCTGTGAATAGTAACTCTGCATATTAGGTGCTGTTAGGAGGTCAACTGTCTATATTTAACAAAAAAACCAAGTTCTTTAAGGAATGTTTGGGCCTTGATAGGTGATATGAAGATAGAAACAAAAATGGTCCTAGTAATGATCCCCCTAAAAAGAAGAATTTGATTCTGGATGTACAAGTGTATTATATTACCATTCTACAAGTGATTCACTAGCAGGTCTGTGTTCTAGTTTATTTTATTATTATGTTGTAATACATGGTCAAAAGTAAATTCATCTTTATAACTTATTTTGGCATGCAAATAATGTAAAGGCATGTGTTCAAAGAATATTACTATTGAATTCATTTCAAACAGAAATTTATTCTCTTCTCCAGAAAAGTTGTCTAGTTTGTTAGAATTATTTAAGAAAAAGGCTAACCCTGTGAAAGTTTTAAACTGCTTATACTACTTATATCTTTTTTTTTTTTTAGATGGAGTCTCTCTCTGTCGTTCAAGGTGGAGTGCAGTGGTGCAATCTCAGCTCACTGAAATCTCTGATTCCAGGGTTCCAATGATCCTCCTGCCTCAGCCTCCTGAGTAGTTGGGATTACAGGTGTGCACCACCATGCCCAGCTAATTTTTGTATTTTTAATAGAGACAGGGTTTCATCATGTTGGTCTTGAACTCCTGAGCTCAAGAGATCTGCCCACCTTGGCCTTCCAAGGTGCAGGGATTACAGGCATGAGCCACTGTACCCAGCATAAACTGCTTATATATTTTAATTTATTTTTAAATGAAAAGTTTCAAAGCATACAGTTTTTGCTTATTCTAATCTGCACTTTTAAAGTTATCTGCAGACCATAACTGTCAAAGTAAGGAACTTAGTATGCATGCAATAAGTAATTCTATTATTATTCTCTAGCCATAGATTTATTATGATAAATTTGTTTAAAAAATCTATAATATAATAAATACACTTCTGCTTTACCCTATTAATGTTTTGTTGGTTTCCTTTATATTCTGTATTAAAGATGATATAATGGAAGCCACCTTGCCTGTGGAATAATTTGTTTTCTCCCTTTTCTTATTCCTCCATTTATAACCTTTCAAATTTTTTTGCCCCCAAAGAGCATAGCATTTATTTTCATTATATGTTTCTTTGTCTCCCTCAACATTTTGTTGATTCTTTTCTTCCAAAGTTTTAAAATCATTATTGTTACTCTCAGGAAAAATATAAAAAGTCATTAGATGCTGAATTTGTGTGATTTGTCTTTTTTATGCCTTAAATCATCAGAGGGAGACTACTCCAGCAGCCCAGGGCATTATGGTTTTATTTCTTGCTAGTTTATTTAACTTCTTGTGTCTTTATCATTTTTTTAAGTTACTACAACTCTTATTGGTTTTTTATACATGCATAAAATAAAAGCAACTAAACATCTGATCTCTCTCTTTTTCTCTATATATACACACGCATACAGGTATATAAGTTTATATATGGTACATAGTGAAAATGAAGAATGAACATTTATTGGCAGAAATAGAATAAAAGAGAAAAGAATGGAAGACAAAAAGATACGTGCTAAAGGTCACCAAAGTAATATAGAGAATTCATTCAGATCAAAGAAAGTTGGGAGTTATTTGACAGTGTTTAATACGAAGCAGCTGCATTGGAGAGTCTTCTGTAATAATTTATTCTTCTTTTGACTTGCAGAGTACTGAGCTGTCTCTGAAGAATTCAGATTATTGAATGTAGCCACGCTTTTCTGATTTCCTTTGTCAATTCAATTCAGGAGCTGTGATGCAACGCGATGTGTCAATGTATGTATGATCGCAGTGTCAGTCTCTATAAGTACTTCACTCCATGATCCGGGGGTGAAGTCCTTCAAAACACATTTTTGGTGGAGCAGAAATAGTGTTGCCTTTCCTGTGCTTCCCACCGTGCTTGTAGATGGAAAGCAATGAATTCAGAATTCTCAAGTCATCCAGGCCATCTTCTCAGTGAGCTTTGCCTCAGGCACCCTAGATATTACCACAGGAGAGCTATATTTCATCTATGCTTAAATTTTTGCGGCTAAAGGACCACATTTGAGGGTTGAAATTCCTGCCACACACCAACCTTACCACCTTCTACTAGTCATAAAAAAAATCCATCAAAATTTACTAGAATTTATTGCAGGAATGACCTCCTGTTTTATGAGCTGACAGTCATATGAAGCCTGGTTTTATCAACTATCCAAGTAAAGTAGTAACTTCAAGACTTCATCTAATAATACACAAAAATTGTTAACAGATCAACTATGGAACCCCCAATCATAAAAAACTGATTCTCAGAGTATATTTTACCAGGTATTGTGAGAAATAGAGAAAAAAACAGTTAACAATGAAAGTAATTACTGGCCTTCAAATTCATTATTAACAGCAAGTCTGAAATTGAAAGGTACTGGTTCTGTTCCCTGTCACTGACATGAGAGAATATGGTAGAGGTAGTGGAGGAAGAGACTTGGATGCCATCTGTCCAGGCCCTCTCACTTCTTCTCAGAAGCAAAGTTGTTAAGTTAATTGCTCAAGGCCTTCAAGGTCCCCACATTCCCTCTCTTTCTCTAGAACATACATGTGTCGGTATCTTCAGATATCTTCACATATTCTTCTTTCCATCTCTCCCATTTCAAAGAAGTGTTACTTCTCAGGTGTAAGGAGTGAGGCTAATTGCCCTGTCTTCTCCTGCTAACTCAGCTCTTCCTGCAACAAGTACCTTTCCTCCTTTCTGTTAATTTTCTTCCCCTTTCCATAAAAGGAAATCAAGTTTTTACACAATTTCTTACAGAAAATTTCATATACAGCATATACAAAGTAGAATGAATAAAATAATAAGGTCTCACTTATACAACACTCAACTTCAAAAATTTCTAACTCATAGTCAATCTTGTTTCATCTGTACTTCCACTTACTACCATTCTGTCAGATAATTTTGAAACAAATCTCAGATACCATATCATTCTCTAGTATTTATCACTAAAATATAAAGTTATTTTATTAAACATAAGAGTAATGTCAGGGCCTGGTGTGCTGTCTCACGCTTATAATCCCAGCATTTTGGGAAGCATAGGCAGGCAGATCACTTGAGGTCAGGAGTGTGAGACCAGGCTGGCTAATATGGTGAAACCCTGTCTCCACTAAAAATCTAAAAATTAGTCAGGCATGGTAGCATGTGCTTGTGGTCCCAGCTACTTGGAGGCTGAGGTGAGAGGATGGTTTGAGTCCAGTAGGCGAAGGTTGCAATGAGCTGAGATTGCACCACTGCACTCCAGCCTAAGAGGCTTAAAAAAAAGTAACGTCATTATCATTGCAAAACTTAACAATGACGCTTTCGTACCGTCAAATATCTAGTCGGTATTTAAATCTTCTCAATTGTCTCAGACAAGTTTTTAAGTGTTGAATCAAGATTCAAGTTAGACCGTAGTTTGCAATCAGTTGATGTATCCCTTAAGCCTCCTCTCTACTTCAGCAATTGATTTGTTGAAAAATCTTTGTCATTTATTGTGTGGGTTCCCTACAGTCGATTTTGCTGGTTGTATTCTGTGAACTCTGTACTTCCCGTACTTTTATAGTTGAATCTAGAGGCTGGATCATATTTGCTGTTGTTAGCAAGAACTATTTTTGACAGGGCCTCGTATTTCAGTTAGTAGATGAATACTGGGTGGTTGTCTCTCTTGTAATATTGGAGTCAATTGCCCAGAACCAGTGGCAACAACCTGGGGGAGAGACAGTGGGAGTGGCCTGTTCTGGTTGCAGGCAATAGGGGTGGTTTGCCTACAGCAATCTGAATCCTATTATGGAAAACAGTGTGGCGATTTCTCAAGGACCTAGAAATAGAAATTCCATTAGACTCAGCAATCCCATTACTGGGTATATATCCAGAGGATTATGAATTGTTCTGTTTTAAAGTCACATGCACATGTATGTTCATTGCAGCACTGTTCACAATAGCGAAGACCTGGAACCAACCCAAATGCCCATCAATGATAGACTGGACAAGGAAAATGTGGCACATATACACCATGGAATACTATGCAGCCATAAAAATCGATGAGTTCATGTCCTTTGTAGGGACATGGATGAATCTGGAAACCATCATTCTCAGCAAACTGACACAACAGAAAATCAAACACCACATGTTCTCACTCATAGGCACGTGTTGAACAATGAGAACACATCGACACAGGGAGGGGAGCATCACACACTGGGGTCTGTTGTGGGAGACCAGGGGAGGGACAGCAGGGGTTAGGGAGTTGGGAAGGTATAACATGGGGAGAAATGCCAGATATAGGTGACGGGGATGGAGGCAGCAAACCACATTGCTGTGTATGTGCCTATGCAACAATCTTGCATGTTTTGCACATGTACCTCAGAACCTAAATATATATATATAATTGCAATTAACTGAAAAGCGAGTATACTTTTTATTATTACTAAGGTTGCCAATTCTAAATAATGCCTCTGGAAAAAAAATCTACTGTTGGACTAAGTTCTAAATAATTGCTGTGGTTACTGCTGAGTTTTAACAATATATATCTTGGCTCCAATTTCACACATTTGTATTACTTATTCTTTATTAAACCTTCTATTCTTCAAAGAAGTAAATTCAGAGAAGTCCAGTTACACACGAGAATTGGGCTAAATGTTTTAATTTTGAGAATAAGTTTGTAAAAATTTGGATTATTTAGAGCTTGTGCTGGGTGTAATCCATGTCTCCAATCACTCTGGTGCTACATGGTCCGCTGCTTAATTCTATATCAATAATGATATCAGAGTCATTGTGAAGAGGAACACGCAGAACTCAAGTTACTTTAGTTCCATTAATTCTGTCATTTTGTGAAACCACTTGAGGTTATTTGTTCTTAAATTTTAAAAGATTAAAACAAAATATGAATTGCAAGGTGTAGAAGCTTTGTTTGGTAAATGGAAAGTTTGTTCATATGTAAAATATTATTGTATTTGATTTACATGTTTAAAATGGAATTTATTCTTATACTAATTGTAATACCAAAATAATATGTATGAACAGGAAGGCAGGATAAGTGCTTGAGTCTTTCTATTTATTTATTAATTTTCAAAATAACTGGTTGGTTTCATATGATCATCCTTCAGAGATATTCAACTAACTCTTTTTTTAATTGTTCAGAACACATTTATTTAAATATATCTGATGCCTTTTGGAAGACCTTAAGCCAATAGCAGTCAGATTTAATTATTAACCTTATCAATGCCTCAAAGGTCTCTTTGGGACCAGGTTCAGTGGCTCACACCTGTAATCCCAGCCCTTTGGGAGGCTGAGATAGGCGGGTCACCTGAGGTCGGAAGTTTGAGACCAACCTGATCCACATGAAGAAACCCCATCTCTGCTAAAAATACAAAATTAGTCTGGCGTGGTAGTGCATGCCTGTAATTCCAGATACTCAGGAGGCTGAGGAAGGAGACTCACTGGAACCTGGGAGGCGGAGGTTGCGGTGAGCCAAGATCACTCCATTGCCCTCCAGCCTGGGCAACAAGAGCAAAATTCCATCTCAAAAAAAAAAAAAAAAACGGTCTGTTTGGCTAACATAGGAGTCTCTTCAACTCTTCAAGTTAGCTTCTGAGTCTTCTTGATACACCGTTAAAAGTGTTTGGTAGCTTTCTTGCTTTTTAATGTAGCAAAATATTCCAGGCTCATTCTTGCTCTAGGCTTGGCATCAGTCATTTTTCAGAAGAAAACTGGTTTCTTTTAGCGCAAAATAATGTTAGGCACTAATGGTGCTTATTGCTGGGTAATGGTTTCTAGGCATTTTCAGTGGATTGTGCCTGGTAAACAATTCTAAGGTAAAATGCATAAGTTCATACTAAACGTTCCTAATCAAATTCAGGACTTCAGGATTTTTACCCAACCTCGTTCAATATTATATCTCCAAGTCACAATGAAAATTCGAGTTCTCAATAATGCCAGCCTCCTCAATTGATCTATTACAACATCCATGCATAATAGTTTCAGAATAGCAATACCAATACTACCACCCACACTATGCTTAGTAAAAACAGATTTTTTTCATGGTTATATTTGCCCACAGGGTCACTCCCTTTAGGGATGTGTAGTCATATACTGTGTTTTAAAATCATTTGAAAAAAATCTTCCTTTTTCTAATGGTGTCCACTTAACACATATATAAATTAACTTATTTTATTTGGTTTTGGATATTACAATCATTTTTTAACATGTAATTTTGGTTTATGATTATGGGAACTATTTACCTATTTACATGGTTCCAAAAATAAATTCCAGAGCAAGGTATATTCAAAGAAGTCTAGCTTCTATCTCTGTACCTTTCTATGCCTGTTTCCACTACCTTTCACCTTTAGATGTCCTTTTAAAAAATTTCTGGTTTGTCCTTTCATTTTCAGTATAAGAAAATATTGGTTTATGCTTTCATTTCAATATATAAAAATATAAACAATAGCATATGAAACAGAGTTTTCTGTCCCTTGGACGTGTTTCTTAAGGTCTCTCATTGTATCAGGTCATTAATATCTATTTTGAGAGCTTCAGTCTGTACTAAATGAAACTGTGGGCCGGGCGGGGTGGCTCAAGCCTGTAATCCCAGCACTTTGGGAGGCCGCGGCGGGTGGATCGCTAGGTCAAGAGATCGAGACCATCCTGGTCAACATGGTGAAATCCCGTCTCTACTAAAAATATAAAAAATTAGCTGGGCATGTGGCGCGTGCCTGTAGTCCCAGCTGCTCGGGAGGCTGAGGCAGGAGAATTGCCTGAACCCAGGAGGTGGAGGTTG